ACTTAAGCTGTTGGTATACAGCAAGTTTGAAGTCCATTAATACATCAAGTCAGGCATAAGTAGAAGCTACTGCCAGTGGTGCAAGCGTTGTTATAACAATCCCGGATATAAATATAGGCTATCCAGGATAGCCTATAGTTATATATAGTTAATACCACCCATAACACTACCACAAGCCCTCCCACTACATACACAAAACACCCCTACAATAACACCACCACACTTTTATCCAGTGGTACTACCATCAGCACACGCAGTATATAGAAAATTCTTAATATGATTTCCCACCTGCCAGTATTACCATACTCAATGAAACCATTCATCACTTACTTAATATAAGAATACCTGAAATAGGAGGCATTCAGGTTCGATCCAGAGAAGGGAAGTGCAGGCCCAGTTCCTCGAATCAAGAGCCCCTTACCAGTATGAAGGACCCCTCCCTTGAAGGGATATATAATGAGAGATTCATCTCGAACTACACACACACTCACACAATTATTATATATATATATATATATATATATATATATATATATATATATATATATATATATATATATATATATATATATATACACGTTTAGTAGATAGCTTGAAGCCTATTACAACAGCGCATCATCAGTATTCTCATCATATGGGCCACAAGGAGTACCTTTCTCTTCCTTCCTCACCACATCAACATCTGTATCCAAGGTTGCTATGACAACAACCACTAAAAAACGACACAATGGGATCTAGTGCAGAACATCTTCGGATTTGGTGCGGAACAGAAACACGCGTGAAAGATTTTTTTTTTTTATCCTTACATGAAAACGTGTTTGATTTCCTGTTATTACAGTGACAGAAAGCGTTAAACTCGTGAGGGCCACTCACCGATGTCATGACTTCCTGTTCGAGTTTGTGATACGAATGAACACACAATGGGGGAATGAAAGGACATAAGTAGGCTCCAGATTTTTAACCTATTTTTTTAATTAACAAAATAACAAAGAACGTTGTGGTTACCTTGATTTACAAGATATTTTGAAATGCTTCCCCAACATACCATCATGGAAGATGGCTTTGCTGCCATTCTCAATCACACAGAATGTTTTTATTATAAAGTAATGAAATTTATCGGCCTGAGCTGGAATGTCATAGGTATCATCACACATTCCACTCAAGAGTTCAATAGCCAAGGCAGCTTTAAGTCCCTTCCGGGAGGACTGGAGTTGACTTTGACACAAACATTACTATTCTGGATGACATTTCACACAAACTTTGTGGAAAAGATGACGTTTCTGATAATCCTAAAAATCCCTGTGTTTTCTCTTCTCACAATCATTCTCAACTACAGTTACTTTCACACGGCAGTTACTCATCCTTTCAACGACAATTACAACCCCTTACAACGACAGTTACTCATGCTTTTAACTACAGTTACTCATGCTTTTAACGACAGTTACTCATCCTTTTATCAAGAGTTATTCCTCCTTTCAGCCAGTAACTTGTAGTTTCACTTACAGTTACTCCTAGTTTCACTTACAGTTACTCTTAGTTTTAGATATAGTTACTCCTAGCTTCAGCTACAGTTACTCTTAGTATCAGCTACAGTTACTCCGTTTCAGCTACATTTACTCTTAGTTTCAGCTACAGTTACTCTAGTTTCAGCTACAGTTACTCTAGTTTCAGCTACAGTTACTCTTAGTTTCAGCTACAGTTACTCTTAGTTTCAGCTACAGTTACTCTTAGTTTCAGCTACATTTACTCTTAGTTTCAGCTACAGTTACTCTTAGTTTCAGCTACAGTTACTCTTAGTTTCAGCTACAGTTACTCTTAGTTTCAGCTAGTTACTCTAGTTTCAGCTACAGTTACTCTAGTTTCAGCTACAGTTACTCTAGTTTCAGCTACAGTTACTCTAGTTTCAGCTACAGTTACTCTAGTTTCAGCTACAGTTACTCTTAGTTTCAGCTACAGTTACTCTTAGTTTCAGCTACAGTTACTCTTAGTTTCAGCTACAGTTACTCTAGTTTCAGCTACAGTTACTCTAGTTTCAGCTACAGTTACTCTAGTTTCAGCTACAGTTACTCATAACTTTATCTACTCGTTCTTTCAGTTCGTTGGTGCTAGATTAACTTTGGTACAAAGTTAACATGTGTTATACCAAAAGTTTGATCTTGGTGGTGATTTTTTTCGTGTGATTTTTTTTTCATGCTACAGATAATATACCATCTACCGATGCATCAGTATCTGTAGCACAAATATCTACCGATGCTTCAGTATCTGTAGCACAAATATCTACCGATGCTTCAGTATCTGTAGCACAAATATCTACCGATGCTTCAGTATCTGTAGCACAAATATCTACCGATGCTTCAGTATCTGTAGCACAAATATCTACCGATGCTTCAGTATCTGTAGCACAAATATCTACCGATGCTTCAGTATCTGTAGCACAAATATCTACCGATGGTACAGTGTCTGTAGCACAAATATCTACCGATGGTACAGTGTCTGTAGCACAAATATCTACCGATGGTACAGTGTCTGTAGCACAAATATCTACCGATGCTTCAGTATCTGTAGCACAAATATCTACCGATGGTACAGTGTCTGTAGCACAAATATCTACCGATGGTACAGTGTCTGTAGCACAAATATCTACCGATGGTACAGTGTCTGTAGCACAAATATCTACCGATGATAATGTCTGTAGCACAAATATCTACCGATGATAGTGTCTGTAGCACAAATATCTACCGATGATAGTGTCTGTAGCACAAATATCTACCGATTATAGTGTCTGTAGCACAAATATCTACCGATGATAGTGTCTGTAGCACAAATATCTACCGATGATAGTGTCTGTAGCACAAATATCTACCGATTATAGTGTCTTTAGCACAAATATCTACCGATGATAATGTCTGTAGCACAAATATCTACCGATGATAGTGTCTGAAGCACAAATATCTACCGATGATAATGTCTGTAGCACAAATATCTACCGATGATAGTGTCTGTAGCACAAATATCTACCGATGATAGTGTCTGTAGCACAAATATCTACCGATGATAGTGTCTGTAGCACAAATATCTACCGATGATAGTGTCTGTAGCACAAATATCTACCGATGCTAGTATCTGTAGCACAAATATCTACCGATTATAGTGTCTGTAGCACAAATATCTACCGATGCTAGTATCTGTAGCACAAATATCTACCGATTATAGTGTCTGTAGCACAAATATCTACCGATTATAGTGTCTGTAGCACAAATATCTACCGATTATAGTGTCTGTAGCACAAATATCTACCGATGATACAGTGTCTGTAGCATAAATATCTACCGATGCTACAGTATCTGTAGCATAAATATCTACCGATGCTACGTATCTGTAGCACAAATTTCTACCGATGGTATATCTGTAGCACAAATATCTACCGATGGTACAGTATCTGCAGCACAAATATCTACCGATGCTACAGTATCTGTAGCACAAATATCTACCGATGATAGAGTGTCTGTAGCACAAATATCTAACGATGCTACAGTATCTGTAGCACAAATATCTACCGATGATATAGTGTCTGTAGCACAAATATCTACCGATGATATAGTGTCTGTAGCACAAATACCTACCGATGATATAGTGTCTGTAGCACAAATATCTACCGATGATGCAGTGTCTGTAGCACAAATACCTACCGATGATACAGTGTCTGTAGCACAAATATCTACCGATGATATAGTGTCTGTAGCACAAATATCTACCGATGATATAGTGTCTGTAGCACAAATATCTACCGGCGATATAGTGTCTGTAGCACAAATATCTACCGATGTATAGTGTCTAGCACAAATATCTACCGACGATATAGTGTCTGTAGCACAAATATTTACCGATGATATAGTGTCTGTAGTACAAATATCTACCGATGATAGAGCGTCTGTAGCACAAATATCTACCGATGCCACAGTACAATATAATATACAATACAAAATAATCTTTGGGTTGATATTACTCAAGCATGTAAAATTTGGTTGTTGAATCGGATAAATGCAAGAAGGAACGTGTATATAATATCCTTTATAACGAAGCAACGTCAAACAGTAATAACAATGAGTCATGGAAAATTTGGAGACGGGATCAAGACGCAAAATTTAAATCAGAGCTTCGTCTCTCACATCATAAATTAAGGTACGTAGCTGGTCAATACAAGGTGATCGAGGGTGCTATTATTTTATAAAAAGATATATATTAGCAGAGCTATGCTCGTAGTGTTGACTTGTCATCAATATGTACATATATGTGCTATATATATATATATATATATATTATAATATATATATAATATATATTATATATAATATATATATATATATATATAATAAATATATATATATATATATATAATATAAATATATATATATAATATATTATATATATATATTATATATATAATATATATATATATATATAATATTAATATAAATATATATATATATAATATATTATATATATAATATATATATAATATTATATATATATATATAATATATATATATATTATAATATATATATATATATATATATATATATATATATTATATATATATAAATATATTATAATATATTATATATATATATAATAATATATTATAATATATATATATATATATATATATATTATATAATATATATATATATATATATATATATATATATATATATATATATATATATATATATATATATATATATATATATATATATATATATATATATATATATTAGTGTTACACTGTTTCTTGTATGTGTGTGTTTACTGGGTGACTTTGACACATGTCATGGTAACAGCACTGCTGCTTGACAATGACTTACACACGACAACCATGCAGACACATGTATTGATCTAGCTAGCACCTACACACACCTGCAAACAACATTCAGCCTGTCAACATAAGCCTTACCTTATGCAACAGGAGACGCTTCTGGCGTTACTACGAGCCACTTACTGGCACTAGAGTGAGAGAAGCAGAAGACGTGTACTCTATCACAGGTTGAGTGTGGCACTACTACCTCACTGCCAACCTCACTTACACACTACTCATCGTACGCAGCCACCCACCATCTACCTTCATGTTAGTAAATGTATTTCCATGTGTAGTTTTATTACATCCATTAACATATGGCATTTAAGATTGTTGATGTTAAATACATAGGTACAAGAAGACTGATTACTCTTATGAGAGAGATAACAACAGAATAAATCAATATCCTCTGGCAATATGTTACGTTGCCAGCCCAGCAGAACTTCTCGTACGCCACTTCTCATATGTTGCAGTGTAGAATGAACTTTACTTTATAACACTCCTTTCCCTACTGATTTAGTGCTTCCCATTGACTACAGTAATAATACAAATTATTATGGTTGCATTTTATGAGGGGTGCGTTAAACCAGCAGGGGAGTCATGCAGCCCCTGGGAGAATGGAAGTCATTCAAGTTTGATTCAAGGAACTGGAACACTGATCCAGTTCCTTAGATCAAGAGCCCCTTACCAGCATCAGGGAATCTACCTCGAGGGGAATGATGCTGAAAGGTCCAAGAAATGTAGACTGAAAATTATATTTTATGTGTAATATATTAGTCCACAAGTCTACAGCAGAATAAACATTAGTAGACTTTATTAATATCAAAGGTAAAATATACTGACAACTGTATCAATATGATACACTATGAAATTTATGGCATTTACTGAGGGGACGTTTCGCCCATCAGGGAGTTCATGATCTCTCCCTCCAGGAACCAGACACAGTGAGTCTTGGCAACACTTCACTTGTACTTACGTACAGGTCCGGGAAGTACAGAATGAACCTGAGTTACCTGGAGTTTACCCGGAGAGAGTTCCGGGGGTCAATGCCCCCGCGGCCCGGTCTGTGACCAGGCCTCATAAGTGATCAGGGCCTGATCAACCAGGCTGTTACTGCTGGCCGCACGCAATCCAACGTACGGTCATATTATTGATATTTTTAACCTGGGTGAGGTTAGCCACTCAAGAGACCCAGTACTCCATGTACGTTATCTGCAACCGTCTTGTTAGTAGTGGGTTTTTATATTATAAATGCTATATACGGATCCAGGAAGTGTAGAACTGACCTTCATTTATTCTGAAAATAGTGTGCATAGGTGTATTTTTACGCATAAGTATATAAAAAATACCACAGTCAAAAGGGGAAAAGCTGAGCGATTTCGTGTGCTTAGACACACATCTAAGGCGATGTCTCGCTCAGTGAAGGTGATGTCTCGCTCAGTGAAGGTGATGTCTCGCTCAGTGAAGGTGATGTCTCGCTCAGTGAAGGTGATGTCTCGCTCGGTGAAGGTGATGTCTCGCTCGGTGAAGGTGATGTCTCGCTCGGTGAAGGTGATGTCTCGCTTAGTGAAGGGGATGTCTCGCTCAGTGTAGGTGATGTCTCGCTTAGTGAAGGTGATGTCTCGCTCAGTGAAGGTGATGTCTCGCTTAGTGAAGGTAATGTCTCGCTCAGTGAAGGTGATGTCTCGCTCAGCGAAAGTGATGCCTCGCTCAGTGAAGGTGATACATCACACAGAGAAGGTGATGCCTCACTCAGTGAGATAACACCTCACACAGTGAGACAATACCTCACAGAGTGAGACAACACATCACACAGTGAGAAAACACCTCACTCAGTGAGACAACACCTCACACAGTGAGACAACACCTCACACAGTGAGACAACACCTCACACAGTGAGACAACACCTCACACAGTGAGACAACACCTAACTCAGTGAGACAACACCTTTGGATCAAAGTCTAGCGCAAGCTGGACTCCAAGGAATTGTCCAGTGTGGGAAGATTGGTTAAGCACTGTGTACTTGGGGATCAACTGCAGCAACACACCTAAAGCCAATAATAACCCAACAAAAAGCTGCAGTAAGAATGATTACTAAATCCCATCCCTGGCAGCACACCCCCCACTCTTCAAAGATCTAAACTTACTCCCAGTTCAGTACATCCACACTTACTACTGTGCAATCTATATCTACAGGGCCTTAAACTCTAATATCAACCTTGACCTAAAACGCTTTCTTGATAGTTGTGACAGAACCCACAGGCATAACACCAGACACAAACATCTCTACGACATTCCCCGTGTCCGACTAAACCTTTACAAAAATTCAATGTATGTCAAAGGCCCTAAAATCTGGAATACCCTACCTGAGAACTCTAGAACTGCAGACACATTCATCACCTTCAAAACTACCATTAGAAAACATCTTATCTCCCTGATACACCCCGTCAACTAACTACACAAATACCACCTGGTGGTTCACACTTACACTCGCTCACTCATTTGACCATAAACAGAAATATTAATCTCAGTCTTAAAATAATGAATCCTGTGATACTCCAATACTGAAACTATATACTGTGCCAAAACAAAAGCATTCACATTGCTAAACTCATAAACTAGTATTTAGTCACTTAGCCATAATACCAACTTACCTCATAATTTGTAATATTTTACATTTAAGAATAAAACTAAGTATGCCCGAAATGCCTAGCCATGCTAAGCGTTCTAGTGGTACACTCTGTAATCACAATTTTACTACATGTAAACCAAACAATAACCAAATTTCTGTAAACTCAGCATTGTAATCCTTATAGAGAATAAACTTTGAATTGAATTGAATTGAATTGTTCCAAGGTTCGTAGGTTCGAGTCTCCTTCAGCCAGAGATCAGTGTTTGTGTATATTTCGCCTGCTCTTGCGAATTCCTTGCATTGTTAATATCTCTAGTAAGGCTGATGCATGCAGGGGATGAGATGAAAAGCTGTAAGCCTTCTCCCTGAAAGCTGGCTGCCTTGGAACAAAACGTGTAGCGCATGCTACACGCCAAGGTATTGGTCCAGTGTGGGTAGATTGGTAAAGCACTGCGTACCTTGTCCGTAGGTTCGAGTCTCCTTCAGCCAGAGATCAGTGTTTATATATATATATATATATATATATTATATATATATATATATATATATATATATATATATATATATATATATATATATATATATATATGCAATAAGATCACAGTAAACAGGTGATTTTAGAATATGCAAAACAACCACTCTGAAAGACTAGAGAAATTCCAAGCGCTTTCGTGACTACTCACATTATCAAGGAACTATGAAAGTAAAGCATCCAAGGAAGCTATATAAGGGGTCTGGTCGGCACCTCACTATCAGATCCCACAACGGTTTTAAACACGTGACGCGCGGCGAGCCAACTTGGAAAGGTCCTTGGCACAACTCACCCACAAACTATTCTACCCAAGAAATAATAAATTTTAAAGATTATTTGTCCAGTGTATTATTAAATTCTTCCAAATTCTATTAATTATAAATGGATCTAATTTATATAAACCAAAGGAAATATTCATATTATTGTCAAAACTGCTTTTTATGAAACAAGATTCAATTATATTCCTGTCGACCATGGACTTGCTTGATACTACTTTCTCAACTTTTTGAAAATCAATTGGATGGTTAAAATCTCTTACATGAATAAATAGAGCATTGGAATCTTGTCCAGTTCTAATGCTATATTTATGTTGTTTTAATCTTAGTTCGAGATTTTTACCAGTTTGACCGTAATAAACTTTATCGCAAATTTTACAAGGAATCTTATAGACACATCCATCAGCATTTTGGGGGGAATTCTTTATCAAAAGTTTTTTTACTGTATCGAGATTTTTGAATACAACTTTAATATTAAAAGTCTTAAGAAGAGAAGGCATATCAACCAAGTTTTCATGGTAAGGGAGAACCAACATATTTTTATTTGAATAAGGCTGGTTGTCCCTTTTTGGATTGTAATTTAATGATTGTATTTAATGATAAATTTTACACTCAGAAGTTTGGTATGGCAATGGGAAATCCTCTTTCACCTGTTCTTAGTAACCTATACATGGAATTTTTTGAAACAAGGTTACTTAACACAATCCTCCCTAATAGAGCTAAATGGTTCAGATATGTTGATGATATTTTGTGTCTTATGCCCAAAAATGTAGATATACACCATTTCCTTGGTAAATTAAATAGCTTAGCCCATTCAATAAACTTTACTGTTGAGTTTGAAGAAAATAACTCATTGCCTTTTCTAGATGTTTTAATTATTAAGGGTAATAATGAATTCAAATTTAAAATTTACAGAAAACCTACTAATAACTGTTCCTATGTCCACTATTATTCCTCGCATCAAGATAGAGTCAAACTGTCTGTTTTCTCATCAATGTTTCTGAGAGCTTTACGAATTTGTAGTCCTGAGTTCATAGATGAGGAAATATCCAAAATTTATGAAATAGGTAATGATTTAAAATACCCAAGAAATGTAATTGATAAATCTTTTAAAGTTGCCAGAAATACTTTTTACAATCCAAAAGGGACAACCAGCCTTATTCAAATAAAAATATGTTGGTTCTCCCTTACCATGAAAACTTGGTTGATATGCCTTCTCTTCTTAAGACTTTTAATATTAAAGTTGTATTCAAAAATCTCGATACAGTAAAAAAAACTTTTGATAAAGAATTCCCCCCCAAAATGCTGATGGATGTGTCTATAAGATTCCTTGTAAAATTTGCGATAAAGTTTATTACGGTCAAACTGGTAAAAATCTCGAACTAAGATTAAAACAACATAAATATAGCATTAGAACTGGACAAGATTCCAATGCTCTATTTATTCATGTAAGAGATTTAACCATCCAATTGATTTTCAAAAGTTGAGAAAGTAGTATCAAGCAAGTCCATGGTCGACAGGAATATATTGAATATTGTTTCATAAAAAGCAGTTTTGACAATAATATGAATATTTCCTTTGGTTTATATAAATTAGATCCATTTATAATTAATAGAATTTGGGAAGAATTTAATAATACACTGGACAAATAATCTTTAAAATTTCTTATTTCTTGGGTAGAATAGTTTGTGGGGTGAGTTGTGCCAAGGACCTTTCCAAGTTGGCTCGCCGCGCGTCACGTGTTTAAACCGTTGTGGGATCTGATAGT